GATTAAGAGTTATCCTAATACACTATAAATCCATACGTAATATTTCCTGGACTCAGCTGTGATCTCTAATGGCCCCCCAATATTCCACTCTAAAATGAGGACAATAATTCCACTGTAAAATGGAGACAGTAATATCTCACAGGGTTAGGTTTAAATTAGATATTTTTCACTTAGCATATGCCTAACACGATATAGTTGCTTGATAGATTCTATTGGTATTTCTTTTATTTCTCCAATATTCTAGCCTCATTTCCAACCCAATGTCCTAGCGACATCAGATTCCTTCTCAGCCTCACATGCGTCCTGACTTGTGCACTTTTGTGCCTCTGCTTTTGTTTCTCTTTGCCTGGAATACCTTCCCTGTGCCTACCTGGTGACCCCCTCAGACTTCAAGACAGAGCATGCATGTCCCCTCCTTTGTGAAGCCTCCCCCTGTCTTCTCTTTGCTCTCTGCACCCTGTATGTATCTTAGCTGTAGAGCTTGTAATTCTAATTCTTTTTCTCCTGTCATAATTTTTAAATTTATATTTTGCCTCTCAGTTAGGCTGTGAATTTGAAGGGGTAGGGAAGGGACCACATTTATTGGTATTTATAGAGTGTTTGGAAAGAGTCTGGAGGAGGCTGGAAAGATGACAAATAAAGAGGCTAGTGTGAAAAATGAACTAATTTTTCTCTTAGACAAAAGGGAAGGGCCTGAAGATAAGCCATAGGAAAACTGCAGCAAGTCTTTTTTTTTTTTTTTAAAGATTTATTTTGGGCCCTCCCTGGTGGCACAGTAGGTTAAAGCACAGCGCTCAGAATCTAAGGCCACTTCAGCATGAGTTTGATCCCTGGCCCGGAGGTGACCCACACGGCTGGCAGACCTCTCCTGTCTCACCTGCTGCTCCCCTCAGCAGTGTACTTTTGTCAATCTGCCTGTTTTGCTCCCCACTCTGTCTCTGGTGAATCCTCTCTCACCGTCCCTGCACCTCTGGCCTCTACCCCAGTTCTGTATGAATAAATAAATAAATCTGAAAAAATTATTTTTAAAAACAATAAAAGAAAATGGGGGAGGGAAGTGCACAGGACTATAGTGATGGCACACTGGTGACTCGGTGATGGGAAACCCACAGGGATTACAATTGAGATGAAAAAAATACAAAATGATGTAAAAATAAACTATTATATTATTTAAAAAAAGAAAAAATAATAAAAGATTTATTTTATTTATTTATGCATACAAGAACTGGGGTATAGGCCAGTAGTGCAGGCGGATGAGAAGATTCACCAGAGACAGAGTAGGGAAAAGAACAGGAAGGTCAACTGAAATACACTGCTGAGGGGAGAAGTGGGTGAGACAGGAGAGGTCTGCTGGGTCATGTGGGTCACCTCCCTGGCCAGGACTGAACTAGTGCTGCAGTGGCTGGCGATAGCTTGATAGCACTGAGACTTCAACCCCAAGGCCAACAGGAAGGCCCCTGTAACAAGAACCTTCAACATAAAAGAAATCTGAAGGGAGAAATTTGGCTTGAGGAAAAGGCCTGAAGAGATGAGGAGGGTATGGGGCCTCCCTGGTGGCCTGGGGGTTAAGCCTCAGTGCTATCACCTCTATGATTTGAGTTCGATCAGGCAAGGCCAGAGAGCTGGCCCACATGGCACAGCAGGCCTCTCCTGACCCTCCCGCTGCTCCCCCCCCCTCCCCGCTGCTCCACTCAGCAGTGTACAGGGAGCTGGAGAGCTGCATATGGAAAATGGGTTGCAGTTTAGGACAGGCCAGGTAGTGGGCACCACCACCGAATGCACACCTCGGGAACAATCTGAATGATCACTGTCCCACAATGTCCCACCCATGCCCTATGCTCCTCAGAGACCTACTGCAGCTGGACACCTACTGTCTCTCTGATTCTGAACTTGTCAATGTATCGTCACATTACTTCCTAAAGAGTCAAGTTCAGAAAGGAGTGACTTGCATCATATGTCCTGTGTGGGCTGCCAAGGGGCAGGGAGAGCTCTAGCTCCCTGATTCAGCTTCCATAGTCTCATCAGTACTGCACAGAATGGGGGCAATCTCTCAAGTAGGAAGAGGTTTAGATGCTGCTGGTATACTAAACACTACAAAATGCCCACTGCACGCTCGTTTTTCTAATTGGTTTTCTTTTCTAGCTACTTTATTTTCTTCAATTGTCAGCTGTGACCCTAGTTTTCCCATGTGGTCACTGACCTCCAGATTTCTTACATTTGCCCTGCTTTCTGTCACTGCCACTGCTTCAGTAAGAGGACTTCAGCAACAGCATAGAGGAGAGACTGGAAACTAGGAGTCAGAGTTCTAGACCATTAGACCTGGAAGAAGCCTTTGAATTTATTGCAATGTTTTACCTAGGAGTATATTAGTAAGGGAAAAAAAAATATATGGAGTGACATCCCATTCTCAGTTTGGCTCAGAAGATCTAAGATAAGACTTTGGGGGCTGGGGGGATGTGTTGAGTGCACTGTAGGTTGAAAACTGCTAAATTCCCATATGCTTTGATTTGAAAGATAAAAGAGACTGAGGCTCAAGAAATCACAAGTTGACCTATAAAAGGGGGAAAGAGGCTAGGAAAATCCCAGATCTCCTGGTTTTTGGTCCAGACTGCTTATTTTTTCCCTCTGCAAAAAGAAATCTCCTGTTTTTAATTGTAGTCAAGAAAGATGTTATACTTTCATGGCTCAGCTCATCTAATAATAAACAGACTTCAGATTAAGAACCCCAAATTGTCAAGTGCTAATAGCCCCATAACAAGGACCCTGTTTTCTAATGGTAGTTGGCTTGTCTCTGGACCACAGGCTTCCTGTGTCAGAATCTGGGCAAAGATTCTTAAGAATCTCAAGAACCTCAAGTGGGGAATGAAGTGAGGAGGATGCCTGGATAAAGGACAGTCCTTCTGAGTCTGGCAGATTCTGATTGAGCCTCTGTGCACACAAGCCCTTGTTTCAACTACTTATTGCCCCGTTTTAATGTTTGTCTGTTCTTTAGTCACCTGGTTCTCATCTGGAGATCCACATTTTTTTTTTTTCTGCTCTCTGACCTCCACCAGTCACTCTGCCTTGGATCAGTTTACCACCAATTCAGGAACTGCTTCCTTTTTCTGAGCAATCTCATGGAAAGCCAGGGTTTCCTAGACCTTCCATTACATTCTGCCATTTAGATTTTGCTCTCCTTAGGAAATTTGGGCTTTCTTTAAAGATTCTCAACAGGAAACACATTTGTTTAATGCTGCCTTGCTCCAAATCTACCTGAGTGCAAAGAAAGTGGAGTGGAAGAATTGCTACACAAGAGCCATCTCTCTATTAGGAGGGAGCCATGCTTTCCCCTAGACTTTCTGTATCTGAGCACTCCATCCAAACAAGAATGCCAGGTCAGAGCTGTTCTTTAGGAAGCAAATGTTAAACCCTATGGAGGATACAGTGGAGGGAGACAAGTTATAGAAGCTACTGCAATAATGTAGGGGGCAGACGTTAACACCTAAATTGGACAGTAAGAGTGGGATGAAGAGGAGAGAATGGGTAGGAAAATAGTCATGATGGTGGGAGAATTGACAGGAAAGAAACTGACAGGATATGGGAGAACAGCAAAAGGTAACACTTGCTAGCCTTGAATGTTGAGGAACTGGGAGGGTTAGTGCCTTAAATTGAATGAGGGAAATAACTGGAAATGAAGGTGGAAGACATCAACTTTAGTTTTGTGCTTGAGGGGTGCATATATTCACGAGGACGTTTGCATCAGGGGGTTGAATATACAGGGATAGACTCAGGAGGTCTGAACTGTGGTATAATTTTGGAAGTTTCAGCAGCAGAAAAAGTGAGGTGGATTAGAGGAGTCAGATCACCTGAGAAAAGAGGACCCAGGCATGATCCTAGAGGAATACCCACTTTTAACCTCAGATAAGAGGGAGAGCTCAAGGAAGCAGTCTGAAAGAGGGCTGAGGGTCTGGGGAAGACAAAAAACCTGGAAAATACGGTTCTGCCAGCCAAGAGGGGAGATTCAGGAAGTGATGTGGGGTGGGAGGATATGGAGATGAGGGCTGAAGAGGAGCTGTTGTTATTTTTGGCAGTTAGCAGCCGGTCACAGTAGGCCTGGTCTCAGTCGCAACAGCTACCCTCACAGTAAAAGAAGCACGAAGGCAAGGTTCTGGATAATTCCCCTACTCTTTACTGACGTTAGCCTCTATTACTAGGGTACTGAAGGATAAATAGGTCTAATTACTTCATAAAGTTCAACAGCTCTACGAAATTCCAAATAGCTCCTCTCGGTCTTTAACTTCATTTGATTCAATAAGAGGAAATTACAGATTGGAAGCAGACGCGCAGACAGCCACAGCATAACTAATACATATTAATGAGACCTCAACTCCCGCCAACCAGGTCAGGGCTTCACCTTCGCCGGGCTCCGCGGAGCCCCGCCCCCTCATGAATATGTAGTCGGCGCTGCCCGCCGCGCACTGCCCCGCCCTCTACTCTTCTCCCTCGCAACGGACTCTCCCTTCAAACGGGAAACAAGATGGCGGCCGCGGGTCCTAGTACTCGGGCCTCTTCCGCGGCGGCGGCGGCGGCTCTGAGTCGGCGGGGCCGGCGGGGCCGCTGTGACGAGATGGCGGCAACGAAGCCTGGGGCCTCGGGCCCGACCTCTGGCTCCGCGCTGCTGGTGCTGCCGTCGCCGTTGCTGCAGCCGCCGCCACCGCCGCGGCCGGAGGAGTCTGGCTGCGCCGGGTGCCTGGAGACTCCGGGGGAAGCAGCGGCCCTGCCGTGTGGCCACTC